TCTCCTTATTTCCTTTACGGATGAGGGTAAGAAAGCAACAGAATGGCAGAAGGGAGATGCTTGGGGCCTTCGCTAGTACCTGTCGGGACCAGATGGGGGGGGGGCATCTTTAAAATTAGACTCAAAGTAAAAACTATCACCAACCTGAATATGTTTACAGCGTACTAAAGAAATCATCCCGACATCAGAGGGAGCCAATATCCTTAACCATGGCCCTATTATTAGAAGGAGTAACAATGGGGGGCATAACAGCCGGCATAGGGACCCGTGGTTATTCTATTTTTAATCCTTATATTTGGTCCCTACATTCTAATAGACCCAAAATATCCAGAGACCTCTGAATGAAAGATTCCATTCAGTTACAAGAGAAATGGGGGAATGGAAGACCCCCCCCCTTTGCTTTTTCTTTTAAGTTTGCCTCCTACTCTGGTCGGCAGCTGGCGGGGCGTGCGCGCGAATACATCCTCCCCTCCCCTGCACTCCCCGACCCTTGATCCCCACAGCTGCCGGCTCTCACTTCCCCGCCGCCGCGCAAGGCCAGCCCCCGCCGGATTGCTCCGGATCGCTCCGTCCCAAGGTCAGCCATCTGGACCGGCAGAAGATAATAAAGGCCGTTTCGCCTGACTATTAAACCTTGAGAAAATGCTGATTTGATGCTTTTCGCTTCTGTACTGTGCCTTTTTTCCCCTATAAAAGGACCCCCCTTCCGGGGCTCGGGGCTTGGCCAAACAGAAGCTAAGTCCCGGGTACCCGTGCTACTAATAAAGCCTCTTGCTTTTGCATCCAAAGTTCGTGGTTTCACTGATTCCTGGGTGCGGGTCTCCTTCTAAGAAAGTACCTCTTCGCAGGTCTTTCAACAGCACTTTACTGACTGGCCTACTTTTCCAGGAAACTGTATTATTTTTTCTTAACCCATACAAGTAAAACAAATTCTGAAAAATCCAAGTTTAAAAATACTAAAATAACAGTATAATATTCACATTTATTTTGAAAGTATGCTTAAAGCATGAAATCCTGCCCTTGAACATCATTCTTGACTTTGGGTAGCATGGTAGGTACAACTACAGTCTTTTGTCCTTAATTTATAAAAATACAGAAGTAAAGGATAAGAATAATTTGTAGGAAAATAGCTATTTCAGTAATGCCTACACATCACTTCACACCTGTATTCAATAGACATACAGTGATGGGGACTAAAGCTTCCCGATATGGAACGTGAGGGTAATTCTTGTTGAATAGTTTGATAGTGTCTTAAAATTAGGCATCCTTAGTGAACATTGCTGGAGGAACCCTCAGTGGTTTTTCAAAGTTGTTCTTTACACTTTTGTTTCCTGCCCCCATGGAAAGGTGAATATATTTGTACTTTTCTTTATAAACATTTTGACATACACACAACAAACTGGAACACATTTAGTAAAAGTAGAAACAACCAAATTTCATACCCACTAAGACCAATTTTCCCTTTCCCCAAGCATTTTTTTGTTTGTTTGTTTTTCGAGACAGGGTTTCTCTGTGTAGCTTTGGAGCCTATCCTGGTACTCGCTCTGGAGACCAGGCTGGCCTCGAACTCACAGAGATCTGCCTGCCTCTGCCTCCTGAGTGCTGGGATTAAAGGCGTGCGACACCAATGGCCAGCTTCCCCAAGCATTGTATGGGTAAGTTTCTGAGGCATATAATGAGGCCTCTGGTATTCACTGGGTGTGGATCTGTTAGGGTCTTGAGTTCTGAGAGTTGGAGATAAAAGGGTCTGAACACAAACGTAAGTGTTGGATAGACACCAAACTTTTTGACACATAGCAGACTAAAATTAATGAAGAGGATGAGGCTGAATCTTGAAGAGTAGAAATGTCTACCCCATATATATTAAACTTTAGAGTCTAGAGGAATGAAATGCAGATAGGAAAGAGGACTGCCTGATATAATTTGCTATTGTTTTTGGTGTTTTAAGACATTGGGAGACAGAATTATACTAGTAAACCAAAGAAAGACGAATCCCACTTGTAGTAAGTTTGATACATTAGGTGAGACCAGGGAGAAAAGCATGAACTAAAATAAGAATCCTTTATAGATTTGTGTCTATAGTGTGTTTGAGGATAACATCTACCCCCTCATTTCTTATGCAGAGAAATGATGCACTGAATAGCTTCACTTCCCCCATCACCATATTAGACTCTAAAAGTCAAGGATGGTTTTTCTCAAGGTGTTTTAAAGGTTTTCACTGCCTTGTTCTGTTAAACACAGTAGGCCTTCTCTCGCATCAGGTACTCTTGCCTTCCCTCTCACTTTCCTATAGGAGGATTCCAGTGAAAAACATCAAATTAGAATCCAGAAAACCTAGTATACTTATAACAGAGGCAATCTTCAAATTTAGTATATTGGGCTAGGGGCGAGGATGGAAATCCAATGAAAATTTCAAGGACTTTACAGTGTAGCATAATTCTCCAATTTGAATGCATCTGCCCTGAGTGACATAACAAATATGTAGATTTACAGCCCCATCTTCAATATTTAGGATCTCAGCATATGAATTTCTAATACATACATACTCTTCTGCTGCACACCTACTAAGTGCTTTTGATTAAAGGGTTTTTTCAGTGGACCCATCCCAACATCTACCCCGTTTATGACTGGCTGGAATATGTGAAGGGGTCAGTCATACAGAACCATCGGCACAGGATCACCATGACTCAGGCCAAAGCAGGGCATCTGAGAGGAGTTTTGGTGAGGATTCAGTATTGACGGTGTAGCAGAAGCCAGAGGCTTTGGACCAGACCAACAACTCATTGCAATAAACATTTACAAGTAAATCTGCTTGGGCAAAAGGGTAGACAGCTTGACACATTGTTGCTTCCAAGGCCTCTACGATAAATGAGTGTATGATGGAGAGGCTGGTAAGATGGAGGAGCAGAGTTCTTGTTTGTTTGTTTTTTGTTTTTGTTTCTTTTGTTGGGGAGACTACTACAAGTGTGGAGAGCAGACATGAAAGGACTGGGAAATGAGTGGGATGGAGATGTATGATGTGAAATTCCCAAAGACTCAATATAAATTATCTTAGATTAAAAAAAAAAAAAAAACTAGATAAAATTGGACAGGGTGAATGGAGCTTTATCCGGGGAATCTTGGCAATGCTAAGATATCAGGATGTGGAATCCCCGAGGAAACTTGCTACGGATTCAGCTTTGCTTTGTTCCACCCCAATGTCCCTTCCTTGCACACTAAAGCTTACATAGTTTCCAATGTTGTTCTGGTGTAACAGCAGATTCTATCTCTTCCTGTATCAACAAGTTTCTAGGAAGAAGACTCAGTGACAGATAATTAAATTCCCCCCTCAGTCCTGTGGATGTTCACAGGCTGTACCCAAACCGTGTTCTAATCTCAGGTGTTACCTCCCCAATATCCTTTCACTTCCTCCTAACCGCGACTTGTGACAAAAATCTAGCAAGTCAAATTAGCAGGCCAGGGCTGCTGGAGTAAGAAGACAGGTCATGTTGACTTTTTGATTGCTTGCGTTTCCTGTGACATTGTGTTGACATTCAGCTTCACAGAGTCAAGGGGTTCCTGTGCTTCGAACCTAGCTGTCTGCATGAGCTGAAATTGCTGGTGAGTACATGGGGGATTACAACACAGTGAAAGCCTTTGGATTGCTCAGTACAAAACTCTGCAGCATCTTTTTTCCCCCCTGCCTGAGGCTCAAGGAATGGCCATCTATAATCACACTGGTCAATTCTAGACAGAAGTAAAAATCTCCCATACTATTAGTAAACACCAGTCTCTTCAAGCTCTGCTTAGCTTTTTGGAGGCTAAGAAATGTCTGTGACTTAATTTTACATTATGAAATCTTTTGGATGAGCATGATGAGCTGTTGTTTAAAATGCTGTAATGGCACGAATACTGCCTGCTACTTATTGAGCCAAATATTTTAAGCAATACTTAAAGTACTGTGAGCAGTATCATACGTCATTGCTTGTTCATAGTTTTAATGTTAGGTACACTAAAATGATTTCTTACACCAGAATAAATAATTTGGTAAGAATACTAATGTAAGGAAAACAAAAGTGCCCAAAGACGCTTGAACTAAAAGATTTAATAGAAAAATTACTGATAAGTTTAGAATTACCACTTAAAATATTTATGTGTTCATTTTATCTATCAATAATGTTCTGCAGCATAATCCAAACTAATACTTTTTTTATTAGCAACAAAAAGGTGTTTTTAGAAAGTCATATGTTTGGTATTTTCTGCATACATTTTTTTTGTTTGCAAATTGAACCAGCAGGTAGGCTCAGTGTGTAAAGGAGCTTGCTTCTGCAGAGTCCGATGACCTGAGTTTGAGTTGTTGAACTCACATGGTAGAATAAGAGACTAGACTTCTCGACAGACATTGTTTTCTGACCTCCAGATGCTGTTATGGGGTGTGTGCACCTGTGCATGTGTGAAATACACACACACACACACACACACACACACACACACACACACACACTAAAATAATAAATAATGTAGTTTGCAAATTGCAATCTGGCCAATGGTGAAGGAAATGAAAAGCTGTTTAGGATTAATTTGCCAGGTTAACTTCATTGCCTCTGGACTATATTTATGTCAGGCAAATAATCAGTGCTAACATTCCATCTCAGAATCCCTGAAGTCTGGCCATTCTCATATGAACATCAGCGCACATTTGATAACACATATGCATCTCACAATTCAGATCATATTCAGAACTTTCATTCAGCACTTTGTGTAATAATCAAGAACCAGACCAGGGGGAAGAAGTTTATTTTATGAAAGAGTTTAGAAGCCCACCCACCAAAGTTATGATCCTGTTGAATCAATTTAAAGAAATTTGCAAACTAAGTAATTGAACAACTTTTCCCCCCCGAAGAGAAAGAAACGAAGACTATTTTATGAGCACCCTAATTGTAAGTTCATTCACAGGTTACTAAAAACCTATTTGAATAGTTAAAAGGTTTTATATTAAAATTAATATAAAGGCCAACTTCTTGCAAGAAGGACAAATCAGGGCAGATGGTAGAGATTTGATTTTTAGTTTTATTTCTAAATAAACGGTCTAATATACTTATTTGGTATTATAAATGTATACTAGGAGAAATGGTGTTGAAATTGTCAGAAAGGAAATGGAGATAAAAACTAATAGTTAACTATCTAATATCTAATTTCTTTGTTTGTTCTTTTGAGACAGGGCTTTTCTGTTTAGCTCTGGCTGTCCTGGAAGTCACTCCATAGATCAGGCTGTCATTGAACACATAGCAATATGCCTGCCTCTGCCTTGTTTTGTGATTAAAGGTATGCACCACCATTGCCTGGCTTAATAGTTAACCCTAAGTGATGGAAGAAACCTTGCAGAGAAAATTCATATTGTCATAAAACTCTTGGGATACATGAGATCATCTGGCAGTAACGTTAGTTTATTTTAATAAAGTCTGATTAGATATTGTTTACCCAACACACCATGACCATAATATTCTGATATAAAACCAACATAAATCATATAGCATTTGATATTGGTATTAAAAAAAACTTTTTATCCTCAACTTTTTCTTCCTTGAGCTAAGGTTCATCTTTTAG